GGGGAAGGGAAGGGAGAGAGAGAAAGGAAGGAAAGAAGGGAGGGGAGGAGGGGAGGAGGAGGGAGGAAGGGGAGGGAGGAAGGAAAGGAGGGGGGGAGGGGGGAGGGAGGAAGAAGGAAAGGGAGGAAGGAAGGAAGGAAGGAAGGAAGGAAGGATTGGATTTGATAAGTTCATACTACCCTCTTAACCAGGACAGTTGAAATCCTGCTAAACTCGATTAATCACCACCATGGATTATTTTGTGTCTGCACATACGGTGTGAACTCAGGCTCTTTGTCGAGGCTTGTATGGCATAAACCCAGAAGACACATCACTTCAACAACCAGTATAAATGTAGTCACACTAAGACTGGACATCTCGGTGGGATGCCCAAAGAATCCAAAGCAATTGTGGCTTGCTTTCATTGTTCAGCTTCAGGGCTCTTTCCTATGTAAGTCACTTCTTATGTGCCAAGGGATATTTATGGCTGTGTCAATAAACCACAACTGGCGCCTTTCCTCCACCTTTGCACTAGGGACAAGCAAATGCTTGTCACACCCATTATCCAAAAAACAAAACAAAAAAAAAACCCCGACCTTGGAAGAATAGGAGGAAAGCTCCAACAACATCTGGACTAATGATCATGATGGATAGCTTTACTGCGGTTCCACCTTTCTTCCCAGAAAATAATTACGATAACTGATTTGCAGATGCATGCCTAATGTTGGATGAGCCTGCATTCAGACAGCTTGTCCGTGTGAAAGCAGCCGCACTGGGGTGGCAGAAGGGATGTCAGATGCCATTCTATTCGTGAGCATGGAATGGTTGTGAGGTCACCATTCGGCCTTGCTATGCTCAAGCAGTGAACACACAGGTGTGAGCCAGTCCTCTGTGTACAGGGCTATGTGTGAGGTACATCCTTTTTTGTGTGTGTAACTTTTTTTATTTTTAATACAAACAATCCGTCATCCATTAAACAGTATGTCATCTGGGTACAAATACCTTGTGCAATAACAATTAATTAATAGCAGTAATCATTTACATTAGTATTAATTCTCTACTCTTAGCTTATTGCTGATCTACATAATGTATCTAATTATTATAACTATCCTCATCTTGATTTGTTTACTTCTGTTGACATATTTTCTATATTTCGCTAGTCTTCTTTTGTTTCTAACTTTCATATTTATTCTCTAACCATTGATAGAATGATTCCCATATCATATAATAATAAGTTTGTTCCTTCTCTTTAATAACAAGTGTTAACCTATTCATTTCTGCACATTCTAATATTTTCCCGATCATGCTCTCATCAGTAAGAATCTCTTTACTTTTCCAACTTTGTGCAAATACAATTCTAGCTGCAGTTAGTATGTGAATAATCAAATATACATTTTCTGTACTATAGAATTCAGGTAAGATCCCCAACAAAGAATATTTCAGGCTTTAAATCAATGTGCTGTTGTATCATCTTTACCAACCATGTGTGTATTTTTGTCCAATATTTTTTGGCTTCTACACATGCCCACCACATGTGGTAATATGATCCAGGTGCCTAGTGACATTTCCAACCTTTAGCTGATTTATCTTCAAACATCCTTGCCAACCTTGCCTGTGCAAAATGCCATTTGTAAAACATCTTATACAAGTTTTCTTTATAGGCAGTTGACATTGTTGGTTTATAGTTTCTATCCCAAGGTTTCTGTGTGAGGTACGTTCTGGGTAGGACCACTGCCCACATCCCCTGCCTCTGATCCTGTCTTTTTAATGGCAAAGAGTTGAACGTGTGAACGGTTCTTAGGGAAGCCTTCCCACCGCCAGAGAGGAGAAACTTCTGCTTATAGTTGTTGCTTTCTGATCCTGTCCCGTGATTAGTTACCAATTACCTGGATTCTCCTGTCACAGAGGGCTGATTTGCAAATAATTCATTTTTTTTTCCCATTGGTGTTTGAAATGCAGAAGCTGTTTTTCCAAGCCCTTCAGTCCAGCCTCGCTCACCCGTGTCCTTGGCATTCATAAAGCCAGAGTTAGAAGGGTGTGACTTGTTTTGTGCAAAATTGCAATCTCGGTGCCCACTGTACAAGGAATGGACACACCCCGTGCACCAGAAGGAAGGGGGGGGAGAAGGAGGATTGAAGGGGTGTGTGAATGTGTGTTAATGCTGTGGCCCTTCTCTTGGACTCCACGGAGGAGATGCTTGGAATGAGTGTCAAAGGTTCTGCTCAATTCCAGAAGTGAGGCTGCATGCAGGGAAACCTGGCGTTTCCAAGGGAAAATGCTACATTTATTCAATAGATTGAGTGGGTGGGGCTTAAAAAAATTCACCCAGACATTTAAAAATTGCAGAAGCCTTTCAGATGCTCAGCAATCTGCATGTACGATGGGGAGGCGAGGAAGCTAACAAGAAGGGGGGTCTCTCCTCCCACTTTTACCCCTGAGAAGAATATGGAAAACCACTAGAGATCTTAAAAGACCCGAAGGCGTTTTGCTCTATTGGTGAGTCAGAATTTTTTTTTTTTTTTTTGTAATTTTACTGGCTTTTACTGTTCATTTCCCATTCATCTTTTTTGGCACTAATTATCTGTATTGGTGTGAGTGTGCACATGTGTGTGTATGTGTATTTGTGTGTGTTGCTGGCTTTGCAACCTGCTTCACGGACTTCATGGACTGAGAGGTTGACTCTAAGGCAACTAACTAATTAAGGGCCAAGGAAGAAGCTCTGATGAAGAATGAATATTTAACTTCCATGTAAGTTTGTTGCGAGTTGCTGCTGCTGTGATTTGTCTCCAACAAGCAAAGGGACTTGAATAACTATTATCTGAAGGAGTCTTTAAAAAAAATTCTTCTTGGATTTCAGTGCATTTTATCCCCTTGTTGTTGTCAGCCATTCCAGTCTCCTGGATCATAAACATTTTTTTTTTTATCGTTGATTGGGAAGAAAGGGGACAAGTGGGGAATTATACGCTTGCCTGCTCAGGAAAACATACATATCCCATTAATGTTAATGTCCTAGAAGGAAGGCTGGTGGTGTCTTAAAAAAAACAGTCATGAGCTTAAGAAATCTTGAATAGCTTCTGTTTTCAGATGCCTTTTTCAGATAGAAACAGTGAGCGGTGGCTTTACCTCTGAATAATTGGCAGGAGGATCAGTCCCTCAGGCAGCAGGGAAACAATTTTGGGGAATCCTGGAGAGTTATTCCAGGAGGAAGCAGCAATAACCCAAGTTGACTGTAACGAGGCAGTGAGCTCTCTCTTACTCTTCAAATAAGATAAAAAAGGTAACAGTGAGGTAACCTAATCACAGAGGGATTCCTGCAGAAGTGGGAGAACTAATTTAATATTCCTGCTTTCTTCCGAGATGGTTCCTGGTTGAGGGGAGACTTTCATGGAGGTGTCCCATCAAAGAACTGGCTTGGATTAGCTTTTCACACTTTTTCAAGGTCAGGCAAGGTTGGATGAGAATGGTAACCTGTTGCATTTGTGTGTAAAAGAAAATCAGGGATTGGATGGACGGACGGACGGATGGACAGATGGAAGGATGGATATTCATTCATCCATCTGGGCAGGAGAGTTGTAGCATTCCCCTAGGGCAGGGGTCTCCAATCTTGGCAACTTTAAGCCTGAAAGACTTCAACTCCCAGGCTAGGGAATTCTGGGAGTTGAAATCCTCCAGGCTTAAAGTTGCCAAGGTTGGAGACCCCCTACCCTAGTGGACTCACAAGAAGCTTTAGGTTTTGCCACCCAGTTTTAATTGGGGAGAGAGCAACGGATTTCCACTCCAAAATCCATCTCCCCTCGCTGCCACACAGAAGGAGAACAGAAACTTACACTATCTAAATTCTTGAATGCTGGTACCAAACAGAGCCCTATTCGTAGAGATCTCACTGTCAGGGAACTGTTGACCCTCCAAATGTGGCTAGACTACTCCGTCCATCTTTCTTGGACATTCGGGCTGAGAGTTATGGGAATATAGTCCAGTAATGCTGAGGTCATGCATTTTCCTTGGATATGATCATAAATAGTCATGGATATCATTTGTTATGGGGAACCTTCAAGACGTCTGCAAGTATTGTCCAAGAAGTCCAAGTTGGTGCAATATAAAACCAGGGGGAGCTTCCATTGCACCATTTCAGCCACCATCTTGACATGTGAGTCTGTATCCCATAGAGCCTGATGGCTGGAAGATCAAAAGACAGGATAAGATGGGACAGGAAGGGAAGAACATACTTGTATTCCCAGCCTAGGACATAAAATAACACCGTTGGAAGGGACCTTGGAGGTTTTCTAGTCCAACCCCCTGGTTGAGCCAGAGACCCTATACCATTTCAGACAGGTGGCTGTCCAGTCCCTTTTTGAAAGGCTTCAGTGATGGAGCGCCCACACCTTCTGGTGGCAAGCTGTTCCCCTGGTTAATTGTTTTCAGTGTTAGGAAGTTTCTCCTTTGTTTTAGGCTGCTTCTCTCCTTGGTTGGTTGGTTTCCATCCATTGTTTCTTGTCTTGCCTTCTGATGCTTTGGAAAATAGGCTGGCCCTCTCTTCTTTGTGGCATCCCCTCAAATATTGGGACGCTAATATGTCTCTCCTAGTCCTTCTTTTCATTAAACTCGATATATCCAATTTCTGCAACCGTTCTTCAAATGTTTGAGCCTTCAGTCATCTTTGTTGCTCTTCTCTGCATTCTTTCCAGAGTCTCAACAGCTGTTCTTCTCTTGAATCACTGTAAAGAAAATAGAAATGTGAACATTATCTGTTAACTGTTGGGGGGAAACTTGACTATAGCAAATTTCCCATCCTCAAAGTAGTGACAGAAAAGATCTCTGACTCAAGTTCAACTTCTGTGGACCATATGAACCCATCTATGTAAATTTCTTGGTATCAGTACAGAAGTATAGCTGTGGAGATTTTCAGTCCTCCATGGTTGCCCCAAAGATGCTTTTTTCAAAAGGCAACTGGACTTCCTTTGTTTTTCCTTGAAGACTTTTCACTTCTCATCAAGAAGCTTCTTCAGTTCTGAACTGAAGAAGCTTCTTGGATGAGAATCAGAGGTGGGATTCAGCAAGTTCTGAGCAGTTCTGGAGAACCAGTAGCAGAAATTTTGAGTAGTTTTGAGGACCAGCAAATCCCACCTCTGACTGGCCCCACCAACCCCATCTCTTCTCTGCCTCCCATTGAGTCCCAGCTGATTGGCTGGGTCTCCTTTGGTTGCCCTGTAGAGGAGAATGGAGCTGGAAAGCAGGTTAGTGGGGTGGGGAGGGAATGGGGATTTTGCAGTATCCTTCCCCTGCCATGGCCACCAAGCCACACCCACAGAAATGGTAGTAAACAATTTTTAATCCCACCACTGGTGGGGACTCCTGGGAGGGGAGGGGTGGGTGGGGCCTGCCAGGAGTGGGATTTAACCCATTGGAACCAGAGGTGGTATTCAGCTGGTTCTGACCAGTTCTGGAGAACCAGTAGCGGGAATTTTGAGTAGTTCGGAGAACCAGCCAATCCCACTTCTGACTGGCCCCGCCAACCCCATCTCTTCTCTGCCTCCCATTGAGTCCCAGCTGATCGGCTGGGTCTTCTCTGGTTGCCCTGCAGAGGAGAACGAAGCTGGAAAGCAGGTCAGTGGCGTGAAGAGAGAATGGAGATTTTGCAGTAACCTTCCCCCAGGAGTAGGGAGGGAATGGGGATTTTACAGTATCCTTCCCCTGCCACGTCCACCAAGCCACACCATGCTCACCAAGCCATGCCCACAGAACCAGTAGTAAAAAAAAATTGAATCCCACCACTGATGAGAAGTGAAATATCTTCAAGGAAAAACAAAGAAACTCCAGTTGGCTTTTGAAAAACCTTTGGGACATTACAGGAGTAGTATATTGTTGCTTTCGTCCATATGTCTACATGGGTGTGCTTGTATTTGACTAACCCAGCCCCTTGAACTTCTTGATGGTTTCCCATCGAAGCAAACTCTATTTTGTAATTTGTATTAAATCTGTCAAGATTGGCTGTCACTTATGGTGAGGACTTGACTTCTTAGAACAGACGTGACTTATCACTGCCTTCTTTCAGTCTGGTGTTGTTGTTGTTTTTTCCAACCAACCTCAAGAAGGTTTTGCTTCAAAGTAGCTGAACCAAACCTGGACATAGGGAGGAAGGGATTTGGGGCTGCCTGCCTTCAAGAATTCTTTGGCCAGTCCCAAGTAGGAGAATCCAATCAAAGTCTGCAGCTTAGCGAGAGTGGCAGAATTGTAGAAATCTTTGAATTACTCATTGCAGGAGAGGCAAACAGAAGCCTTTCTCCACTCTGTTCCTGATATCCTGTAGCTGTAAAATGTAAAGGAACTTTAAAATTGCTTTCTTGAAGGCACAATTCCTTGGGTAGTAATAATTTGACGCCGTTTTCATGTGCAGGCAGAGCTTAGCTGTAGCTCATTTTATATTAAGACCATCTCTCATAAATGTTAGGCAGTGTAGTTTGGCTGGTATTTTTTTAAACCATTAAAGCAAAAAGGTTCATGTTGCATTTATGCGTAAAAATCAGCCAAGGGTTTGATTTTGAGATCCAGTGTATCAGCAACGTTCTTGCAGATGCTAGAGTCTTCCAAAGTAAACCTATTTTCAGAAGTTATATGAGAAGGGATGTTTTGTTGGATCAGGTCAATAAATAACGTTTTTTTTTTCCCATTGTTTTTTTAAAAAAAACCTTTTTTGCACCACTTTACAAAGCCTTAGTAAGACCACACTTCTGCATCTAGTTCTGGTCACCACAATATAAAAAAGATGCAGAAACTCTGGAAAGAGTGCAGAGGAGAACAAGAAAGACAATTAGGGGGGGCTGGAGGCTGAAATATATGATGAAATGGTTGCAGGAACTGGATACGTTTAGTCTCACAAAGAAAAGGACTAGGGGTGGCATGATAGCAGTCTTCCAATATCTAAGAGGCTGTCAGAAGACCTCCAAGGTCCCTTCCAGCTCTATTATTCTATGTCCTATGTCCAGGTTTTCCCACAGATTTTCAGGAAAGACTTTCCTATATCCCGACATCGCATTCTTTTGCAGCAAGTAACCCAAAACAAATGCGGAAATGCAAGGACGGGATTCTCTGGGTTGGTTGCGGTATTTGTGAAAAAAGATACATTGGAGGAGTGTTTGACTGCAGGATTAAATGTGAGCCAGCAGTTGTGATGTAGCTGCAAAAAAAAGATTAAGACGGATTTGGATGACATCGATAGATGCAGCCCTTTGGAATCCTAGAAAGTACTTCTTCTGGTTTATTTTGCATCGATCAGAGCTCATAGCAAACACTTGCCCAGTTTAACATACTTTAAAGGGAATTTAGAGAAAATAGAAGTTCAAACCCAGGTTGTAAGTATCCATGTGGCACAGCGGTTAGATGCAGCATTGCAAGCTAACTCTGCCAACTGCCAGGAGTTCGATTCTGACTGACCCAAGGTGGACTCAGCCTTCCATCCTTTCCAAAGTCAGTAAAATAAAGACCCAGATTGTTGGGGGGCAAGAAGCTGACTCTGTAAACCGTTTAGAGAGGGCTGTAAAAGCAGTATGAAGAGGTATATAAGGCTAAGCGCTCTTGCTAACCCCCAGGTAGGTCCATCACGACTTCAAACAGTCAGTAAGCGACTGGTTGCAAGTCAAGGACTACCTTTA